AACCCGTGTCTCCTGCATCGGCAGGCGGACTCTCAAGCACTGCGCCACCAGGGAAGCCCATAACTTTTAATTTTATAAAGTTCTTGAGGACAGTTGACGTGGCTTGCTTCTCATTCTGTCCCAGAGCCCCAAAGCCTGACTCTTTGTCAATGAATATGACTCTTTGTCATTTCTCAATGACTCTTTGTCATTTCTGCTCAAGAAATGAATCTGGAAATGGATAAATGTTACATGGCAGGCATTAATTCTAGAGAAATATACATAGAGCTCTGGGAAGCAAGACAAAGGCCAAGGATGGCTTTCCAGAGGAGCTGACAATTAGTCAGGGGCTTAGAGCGAGAAAATGAGTTTACCAGAAGGAGGTAGAAGCCAGGGTGGACTCAGAGAATGGAGAGCTGGGTCCTCTGAATAGAGAGCTCTTGCAGGGGAGGGGGCTGAGGCGGGCAGGAGGGCAGAGGCAGTCTCCGCTGCCAAGGCTTGCGATTCCTTTCCTCACCTGGCCATGAAGGAGTGTCCCCTGCAGGGCCCGTGCCCTGGGGAGGCCTGGAGGCCTGGTACCCGTGTCTGGGGACAGGTCCCTGGGGTAGGGTCAGCATGCACTCCTGCGGGCTGGGCCTGTGCTTTAAACCTGAATCTGGGCTTTTGTTAGTGCCTGGAATGCCCATCTTCCTTGCGTCCTGCTGGTAGGTGTGGAGGCCTGAGTCAAATGGCTTCTCCTCCCTGTGGCTTTCCTGACCTCACCCACTCTAGCCTGGGTCAGATGCTCCCTTCTCTGGGAGCCCACAGTCCTTTGTTCGTTCCTCCCTGAAAGTGCTGATCACAGCATGGCACTGTACATTTATCTGTCAGCCTCCTTCAGCAGACCCGGAGCCCCTGAATATCCCCAGGGACCAGCACAGTGTCTGGCACACTGTACACTGTCACTTCTCGTGCTGCGGTAAACTGAGCTCTCCCACACCTAGACTTGTTTGGAGGAGTGCGTTGTGGGTGAGACCAAAAATCCTGTACCTTAGACAGCTCACACTTACTGCATTGAATGGTAGAGATGGTTGACCCCATTTTACAGACAAGGAAGCTGAGACTTGGGAGGTGTCTCAGCAGGATGGCCATGGCTCACGGGCCCAGCCGCTCCGCGGCATGTGGGATCTTCCCGAAACAGGGCACGAACCCGTGTCTCCTGCATCGGCAGGCGGACTCTCAAGCACTGCGCCACCAGGGAAGCCCATAACTTTTAATTTTATAAAGTTCTTGAGGACAGTTGACGTGGCTTGCTTCTCATTCTGTCCCAGAGCCCCAAAGCCTGACTCTTTGTCAATGAATATGACTCTTTGTCATTTCTCAATGACTCTTTGTCATTTCTGCTCAAGAAATGAATCTGGAAATGGATAAATGTTACATGGCAGGCATTAATTCTAGAGAAATATACATAGAGCTCTGGGAAGCAAGACAAAGGCCAAGGATGGCTTTCCAGAGGAGCTGACAATTAGTCAGGGGCTTAGAGCGAGAAAATGAGTTTACCAGAAGGAGGTAGAAGCCAGGGTGGACTCAGAGAATGGAGAGCTGGGTCCTCTGAATAGAGAGCTCTTGCAGGGGAGGGGGCTGAGGCGGGCAGGAGGGCAGAGGCAGTCTCCGCTGCCAAGGCTTGCGATTCCTTTCCTCACCTGGCCATGAAGGAGTGTCCCCTGCAGGGCCCGTGCCCTGGGGAGGCCTGGAGGCCTGGTACCCGTGTCTGGGGACAGGTCCCTGGGGTAGGGTCAGCATGCACTCCTGCGGGCTGGGCCTGTGCTTTAAACCTGAATCTGGGCTTTTGTTAGTGCCTGGAATGCCCATCTTCCTTGCGTCCTGCTGGTAGGTGTGGAGGCCTGAGTCAAATGGCTTCTCCTCCCTGTGGCTTTCCTGACCTCACCCACTCTAGCCTGGGTCAGATGCTCCCTTCTCTGGGAGCCCACAGTCCTTTGTTCGTTCCTCCCTGAAAGTGCTGATCACAGCATGGCACTGTACATTTATCTGTCAGCCTCCTTCAGCAGACCCGGAGCCCCTGAATATCCCCAGGGACCAGCACAGTGTCTGGCACACTGTACACTGTCACTTCTCGTGCTGCGGTAAACTGAGCTCTCCCACACCTAGACTTGTTTGGAGGAGTGCGTTGTGGGTGAGACCAAAAATCCTGTACCTTAGACAGCTCACACTTACTGCATTGAATGGTAGAGATGGTTGACCCCATTTTACAGACAAGGAAGCTGAGACTTGGGAGGTGACACAGAAGAAACTTAAGGAACCATCCTCTGACTCCAGGTCCAC